TTTAAATTTATGTTTACAATTTTTTTATTGAAAAGAAAGACACAGATACACACGTGAGCCTAGGCCTACACAGGATCCAGGAGCATCAAGATCACTGCCTTCCATTTCCACATCTTGTTCCACTGGAAGATCCGCAGGGGCAATAATAGGCATGGAGCTGTCATCTCTTATGGCAATATCTTCTGGAATACCTTGTGAAGGACCTGCCTGAGGCTGTTTTACTGTTAACTTAAAAAAAAAAATTAAGTAGAAAAAATACAGTCTAAAATAACAATAAAAAGTATAGTAAGTAAATGCAGAAACCAATAACATAGTCATATTATCAATATCAAGTATTATGCGTTACACATAATCATATGTGCTATACTTTTATACAACTGGCAGTAGTAGTTTTGTTTACACCAGCATCAACACAAACAAGTGAGCAATGTGTTGTGCTACAATGTTACCATGGCTACTATGTCACTAGGCAATAGGAATTTTTCAGCTTCATTATAATCTTATGGGACCATCGTTGTACATGTGGTCCATCACTGACTGAAACATTGTTATGCAGTGCATGATTGTACTTTTAAAATTTAAGTGCTTTTGCTAAATGATAACATACCATATATTCTAGTCTATATCTTCTGTGCATATGATGTCAGCTATTACAATATGCATAGAAGGTATAGGCTAGAATTCATGGTGTGTTATTTATACGTAAATAAAAATTATAAATAGATCTCTTTGCTTATATATGCAAAGGCTATCTCCGAAGGATATGTGAATTGATAACGTGTATGCTTCTGGGGAGGGGAACTAGATTAGGAATCAGAGATGGAATCAAGACTTACTTTTCAGTGTAAAATACAAATATTACTTGTATTTTATGCTAGGGATTAAGAAAATAATGCAGCTGGGCATGGTGGCTCTTGCCTATAATCCTAGCACTTTGGGAGGCCAATGAGGGCAGATCACTTGATCCTGGTTTGAGACCAGCCTGGACAACATAGTGAAACCCCATCTCTACAAAAAATACAAAAATTAGTTGGGTATGATGGCACATGCCTTTAGTCCCAGCTACTCGGGAGGATGAAGCAGGAGAATCACTTGAGCCCGGGAGGTCAAGACTGCAGTGAGCCGAGATAGTGCCACTGCACTCCAACCTGGGTGACAGAGTGAGATCAAGTCTTGGGGGAAAAAAAAATGTATATATATATATATATATATATGCACACATATGTATAATAATGCAAAGTAATACTTGCAAATAGTACATACTTGAATTATTTTCCGTAAGTATGTATTATCTTTTAAATTAACAAGTAAAATATATTAAAATAGATGGTACTTTTTTTTTGGTAGAGACAGTCTTGCTCTGTTGCACAAAGTGGAGTGCAGTGGCACAATCATGGCTCACTGCAGCTTCAAATTTCTGGGCTCAAATAATCCTCCTGCTTCAGCCTCCTAAGCAGCTGGGATTATAGATGTGTGCCACCATACCTGGCTAATTTTTTACTTTTTATAGAAAGGGGGGGGTCTCCCTATGTCGCTCAGGCTGGTCTTGAACTCCTGGCTTCAAGCCATCCTCCCACTTTGGCCTCCCAAAGTGCTGGGACTACAGGTATGAGCCACTGCACCTGGCCTTAGGTGGCACTCTTTTGTATGAAAAAATATTGGAGAAAATACACTAAAATGTTAACATTCATAGTTTTTGAGTGGGCAGGATGTCAGTTAATTTTAAATTCTCTTTTTTATACTTTTGTATAATATAATTTTCAAATTTTTTATAATGAATACATTCATAGAAGAAATTTTCTCTTGTAAACAAAGATGACTGGCAGCAGAGTGGAGGATGGTGTGAAGTTGTGGTTGCTTTCCTTGTTTTAATGTAGAAAAAGCATAATGTGGCCAGGTGTGGTGGCTCACACCTGTAATACTAGCACTTTGGGAGGCTGAGGCAGGTGGATCACCTGAGGCCAGGAGTTGAAGACCAGCCTCGTCAACATGGCAAAACCCCATCTCTAGTAAAATACAAAAATTAACCAGGCTTGGTGGTGGATACCTGTAATCCCAGCTACTTGGGAGGCTAAGACAGGAGAATTGCTTGAACCCGGGGGCAGAGGTTGCAGTGAGGCGAGACTGCAACCCTTCACTCCAGCCTGGATGGAAGAGCGAGACTCTGTATCAAAAAAAAAAAAAAAAGAATAGTGTCTTTGCATGGCAAGTTCTTGCAACAGGCTTTGCACCTAGTACCATGAAAAGCTGAAAAGTTAAGACTGTGAGACAATTTAAGCAGGCAATGGAACCCTCCCTTCCAACCTCACTTTCTTGCTCCATGTAAGTGCTACGCCTCGATCTCCAACTGTCCTAGGCATGTTCCACACTTGCCTAGTGAGTCTTGTCATGGGACAGATGATACAGGGATGGAGCTGAAAGTGTCAGAAAAGGCTTGAGAGCTGGGAGCAAAGAGAAGAAAGAACAGAGACCACAGGAGTCCAGTGGTAACATATGCAAGGAACTTTTATTAAAAGGCTGCTAACAGTCTTAAATATTTGTCTAACTTTTCTTCAAGAGAGCTTTAAACCTACATTTATCAGCTCCTTATCCTTACAGCTCACCCGAGAGGCCCAAAGAACCACATCCACCAGTCTCATGATCTTTCTTTTCCCTTGGGGAAAAAAGCAGAAGTTCCTAAAAAGACCGAAAACCCAGACACCATCACACTTGAATGCTGTCCTCCCACCCTCCTCTGACTGCTCATCTAGCCATCGGAGTACCCCCAGATTTCAGGGGGAGAAGCAGGGTACCTGAGGCTTCTAAGACATAGGAGAAGCAATTAAAGATGCAAATAAGACCATGTGACCAAGTGCTGAATTCTGGAGTTCAGATTTAGGTGTTCTAGCAAAGAAGATGGTGACAGAACTGAAAGGCTGGGGTCTCAGGAAAGGCCTGGCCTGTATTAAATATTTGCTGTATGAATGAATGAATGAACAAATAAAAGACCTCGGCTTTGGAGGCTTTGGAATAAGGACATATGTTCATCCCTGTGTGGAATTTACCAGTTGATAATGGTTTCATCCATTGTTGTCCCTTTTTTTCTTTTCTTTTCTTTTTTTTTTTTTTTTTTTTTTTTTGAGACAGAGTCTCACTCTGTCACCCAGGCTGGAGTGCAATGGCATGATCTCGGCTCACTGCAACCTCCGCCTCCCAGGTTCAAGGGATTCTCTTGCCTCAGCCTCCTGAGTAGCTGGGATTACAGGCGTGTGCCACCACACCCAGCTAATTTTTATAATTTTAGTAGAGATGGGGTTTCAACATCTTGACCAAGCTGGTCTTGAACTCCTGATTCATGATCCATGCGCCTCGGCCTCTCAAAATGCTGGGATTACAGGCATGAGCCACTGTGCCCGGCCTCACCCATTGTTATCTCATTTGAATCCTGTGATAGCTCTGTGAAAAGAGCAGGGCAGAAATTTTCTCAACATTTTCCAGATAAGGAGATTGAGACTCAGAGTGATGAAGTGACTGTGATTAATTCAGCACACATTTACTGAGTGCTTACTATATGCTAGGATTCATGCTGGAAGCCAGACATATAGGAATGAAGTTCATTAAGCTCCAGATGCTCAGTCCAACCATCCTGAAATGTTAGAAGGGCCGTTCCAGTGTTCTGGAAGCATAGGAGCAGGAATACCTGCCTCTGCCATGCACAGGGAAGCTGGCACTTGACCTTGGCTTCTGAGGATGAATAGGAGTTTGTTAGGAGGAAAAGACAATTCTAGGCAGAAGGAATACATATATAAAGGAACAAAGGCAAGAAATAATGTGGCTTATTTGGCATAAAGTGTTTAATTGGATCCAGGGGAAGCACAGGTTAGTGAAGAGAAGGGGTATGGGAAGATAAAGCTTAGAGCGTTGGCTGTTTGGTTAGTTGGTTATTTGTCAAGTTGAACAGTTTGGACTGGATCTTTAGAGCTGTGAAAAGCCATAGAAGTTTCTATTTTTTATTTATTATTTTTATTTTTTTGAGACAGAGTTTCGCTCTTGTTACCCAGGCTGGAGTGCAATGGTGCAATCTCGGCTCACCGCAACCTCTGCCTCCTGGGTTCAGGCAATTCTCCTGCCTCAGCCTCCTGAGTAGCTGGGATTATAGGCATGCGTCACCATGCCCCTTTTTGTATTTTTAGTAGAGATGGGGTTTCACCATGTTGACAAGGATGGTCTCAATATCTTGACCTCGTGATCCACCCGCCTTGGCCTCCCAAAGTGCTGGGATTACAGGTGTGAGCCACTGCGCCCGGCAAAAGTTTCTATTTTTAATTTTATTTATTTAATTTTTTAGAGATGAGATGTTGCTCTACTGCCCAGGCTGGCATTCAGTGGCATGATCATGGCTCCTTGCAGCGTCGAACTCCTGGGCTCAAGTGATCCTCCTACCTCAACCTCCTGAGTCATAAAAGTTTTTAAAGCAAGAGAGTGATAGCCCTATACTGGGTCTTTCCTAGAATGTGTGTGTGTTTGCTGTTCTTGGCCTTTTTTTTTTCCCTCCAAAATAGCTCAGGAGCTGCTTCCTCCAGGAGCTTCTCCTTGATCATCAGGCCTCCAGGCTGAGTGGGATACTTCCCATAGACTTTCTCAACCAGGACTCCTGTTTTATCACCTATCTACTGCTTTGTTACTCTGTGTTTACCCACCTTTTATTCTAGTCTGTGTCCACCCAGAGGTCAGGTACCATGTCTGACTCATAAGCCCCATGCCCAGCACAGGGCTTGCCCCAGATCAATGTGCTCAGTAAATATTTGCTGAAAGAATGAATGGGAGGAGCTGGGTTCTACCCCAGTGCTGAGACAACATTTGGGGTAGGTGAGTGATGGGGGATTCTGAGTAGTGTGGATTTCCTCAGTGATGCTGGGGTAAGGAGTGAGTGTGTGAATGGTGGGGTGACCATTAGAAGGTTGGTGACTCAAGATGACTCTGGAGGTCTGTTCCTGAGTGACTCTAGGTCTTTCTTGCAGATGGCTTCAGTGACAGATGGTAAAACTGGAGTCAAAGATGCCTCTGACCAGAATTTTGACTACATGTTTAAGCTGCTTATCATTGGCAACAGCAGTGTTGGCAAGACCTCCTTCCTCTTCCGCTATGCTGATGACACATTCACCCCAGCCTTCGTTAGCACTGTAGGCATCGACTTCAAGGTGAAGACCGTCTACCGTCAGGAGAAGCGAGTGAAACTACAGATCTGGGTGAGTCCCAGGAATCTTGGGGAGGATTTTCCTGAGAGGGGGCTGGTCTGTCAGTACAAGGGCTGGGAGGTAGGGCCAGCTTGGAACTTCTGGGCATTATAGCATGAGGCATTAATGCTCTTTCAGATGTGGCCCCTGGGTTACCTTCTTCTAGCTTTATACAAGTTTGCTGTCTTTCAGGGGTTCAGTTGCTTCTGCTGTTTAATTTTTCAAGAGGTTTTATGTTGGCTTGTCTAAATGAGTGACCAAGAAACTGGGATTTGGAGTTAGAGACTTGGGTTCAAATTCTGCTTCTGTCACTTAGTAGCCATGGAACTTGACTGAATTGCTTAACTTCTCTGGGCCACCCTTTCTTCTTTGGGGATTGTAATAGCATCTACATCATAAGGCTGTTGGGTCATTAGATCCTTGGCTTAGTTCCTAGAACATAGTAAATGCACAGTAAATGTTAGCTACAGTATTGGTTACCTATTGTTGTATAACAAATCGCTTTATAAGTTCGTAGTGCCAGACTGGTTAACAATGTGAGACCTCATCTCTACAAAAAATAAAACAAATTAGCTGGGCATGGTGGTGTGCACCTGTAGACCCAGTTACTTGGAAGGCTGAAGTGGAAGGATTGCTTGAATCTAGGAGATTGAGGCTGCAATGAGTCATGATCATGCCACTGCACTCCAGCCTGGACAATGGAATGAGACTTCATCTCGAATAAGAAATAAATAAGTTGGTAGTGTTAAACAACAATAATAATTGATTATCTCATAGTTTCTATGAATCAAACATTTGGAAGTGGCTTGGGGCCTCTCATGAGGTGTAGCCAGATGTTGGCTTGGGTTGCAATCATCTGAATCGTAGACTGGGGCTGAGGATCTTTTTTTTTTTTTTTTTTTTTTTGACAGAGTCTTGCTCTGTCCCCCAGGCTGGAGGGCAGTGGCGTGGTCTTAGCTCACTGCAACCTGTGCCTCCAGGGTTCAAGCGAATCTTCTGCTTCAGCCTCCTGAGTAGCTGGGACTACAGGTGCTCACTACCATGCCTGGCTAATTTTTGTATTTTTAGTAGAGACAGGGTTTCACTGTGTTGGCCAGGCTGGTCTTGAACTCCTGACCTCGTGATCCACCCACATCAGCCTCCCCAAGTGTTGGGATTACAGGTGTGAGTCACCATGCCCACCCTGGGGCTAGAGGATCATAAGGCTGCACGCTTACATGTCTGGTGATGGGTGTTGTCAGGAGGCCTTACTTATTTTCCATTTGGCCTCTTAGAGTGTCTTCACAGAGCTGCTTAAGTGTCATTATTTGCATAGACCCTGACTTTTCCCAGAGTGAGAGACATAAAAGGCCAGAGAAAGTGGCAATGTCTCTTATGAGTTAGCCTTAGCCTTAAAGCATTCTGTTGGTCACTGATTCAGTGTGGGAGGAAATTACACAAAAATGTGAATATTGGGAGGAAAGTATCATTGGGGACCATCTTCGAAGCTGGCTACCACAGCTACTACTATTATTACTATCTACCAATAGTACTAATTAATTATGTACATATTTTAGATGATATAGCAACATATAAATCATATTATTTTCAAAAATGAATTAGTACCTGGATTGGAAATTTTGAAAATTTGTAATTTAAAGTGTTCAAAACATGTATTTTTATTTTTATTTTATTTTTTTTGAGACAGAGTCTCACTCTGAGCTGGAGTGCAGTGGCACTATCTTGGCTCGCTGCAACTTCCGCCTTTTGGGTTCAATCGATTCTCCTGCCACAGCCCCCTGAGTAGCTATAATTATAGGTGTGTGCCATCATGCCTGGCTAATTTTTATATTTTTAGTAGAGACATGGTTTCACTATGTTGACCAGGCTGGTCTTGAACTCCTGACCTCAGGTAATCCACCTGTGTTGGTCTCCCACAGTGCTGGGATTACAGGTGTGGGCTACCATGCCCAGCCAGAACATGTATTATTTGTTATCATTCTATTCTATGTGTTAAATGTACGTTAATACATCATCTATGTATCTTATTGGGGCAGTCTGTATGTAGTATTTTTCTTTTTACAAATTATTTCCCATAAATTATCTCACAATTAACACTATAAGGTAGGTACTACTTTAATACAATCCTATTTTGCAGAATAAGAAACTCAGAGATTAATTAACTTGCCTTAGGTCAACAACACTGCTATAAAGTGGAATTTCAACAAGATCTTCTGATTCTAAAGTATGTGCTCTTTTCTGTACACTGTCCATCTGAGGTCTTAGTCCATATTTCCCTTCATGATAATGTCAAATATTAATTTATATAGAGATAAAAGTTGATTTTGCTCATTTGCTCTCTATTAAAGGCATTGAGGAATCAGAGATCATTAGAAATAGAAGCTACATGGGTTGTCTAGTTCACTGATTCCCAAAGTGTGGTTTCCAGACCCATGGCATCAGCATTACCTTGGAATTTGTTAGACATACACATTCTCGCCGGGCGTGGTGCCGTGTGCTTGTATTCTCAGCTACTTGGGAGGCTGAAGTGGGAGGATCGCTTGAGCCCAGGAGTTCTGGGCTGTAGTGCACTATGCCAGTCAGGTGTTCGCACTAAGTTCAGCATCAATACGGTGACCTCTTGGGAGTGGAGGACCACCAGGTTACCTAAGGAGGGATGAATAGGCCCAGTTCGGAAACAGAGCAGGTCAAAACTCCCGTGCTGATCGGTAGTGGGATCGTGCCTGTGAACAGCCACTGCACTCCAGCCTGGGCAACATAGTGAGACCCTGTCTCTAAAAAAGAAAGAAAGAATGAAAGAAATGCACATTCTCAGGCCCATCTCAGAACTATTGAATCAGAAACTGTGGTGGGTGAGTGACAACAATCTGTGTGATAACAAGTTTTCCAGTTGGTTTTGCGGCAGGCTAACATTGTAGAACTACTTAGCTTAACTAGCTTGAGGTAAAAGTCAACAAGCATTTACTTAAAGCACCTAGGTGCTTTCACTTGTGTTATCTGACATCATCCTTGCAGTTTGTGCACAGGGGCACGTGAGAGCACAGAATATTTGGGGCATGGTGAGCAATTCAGTGAAACTGGATCAAGGTTGTGAAAGAGGAGGGAGTGGGTGCTAAGAGAGAAATTTGCTAGAGAGGCTCTAGGCGGCAGATTGGGGGTCAAAGAGACCTTCCAGGGCAAACAAAAAGTTCTTTTCATCAGCCAGAGGATTCATGCTTGATGATTCCATAGGAAGATGAAGAAATTAATATTATTATTATTTTATATATGTATAGATATATACACATATATTATTGCACTTTAGGTTCTGGGGTACGTGCGCAGAACATACAGGATTGTTGCATAGGTACATACATGGCAATGTGGTTTGCTGCATCAATCCCCACGTCACCTGTATCTGGCATTTCTCCCCATGTTATCCCTCCCCAACCTCCCTATCCCCCCGCTGTCCCTCCCCTATTCTCCCCCAACAGACCTCAGTGTGTGGTGTCCCCTCTCTGTGTCCATGTGTTCTCATTGTTCAACACCCACCTATGAGTGAGAACATGTGGTGTTTGATTTTCTCTTGTGTCAGTTTGCTGAGAATGATGGTTTCCAGATTCATTCATGTCCCTACAAAGAACACAAACTCATTGTTTTTTATGGCTGCATAGTATTCCATGGTGTATGTGCCACATTTTCCTTGTCTAGTCTATCATCGATGGGCATTTGGGTTGGTTCCAGGTCTTTGCTATTGTGAACAGTGCCGCAATGAACATACATGTGCATGTGTCTTTATAATAGAATGATTTATAATCCTTTGGATATATACCCAGTAATGGGATTCCTGGGTCAAATTGAATTTCTATTTCTAGGTCCTTGAGGAATCACCATACTGTCTTCCACAGTGGCTGAACTAATTTACATTCCCACCAACAGTGTGAAAGTGTTCCTATTTCTCCACATCCTCTTTAGCATCTGTTGGCTCCAGATTTTTTAATGATCACCATTCTAACTGGCATGAGATGGTATATCAATATAGTTTTGATTTGCGTTTCTCTAATGACCAGTGATGATGAGCATTTTTTCATATGTTTGTGGGCCTGATAAGTGTCTTTTCTTGAAAAGTATGTGTTCACATCCCTCGCCCACTTTTGAATGGGTTTGTTTTTTTCTTGTAAATCTGCTTTAGTTCTTTGTAGATTCTGGATATTAGCCTTTTGTCAGTTGGGTAGATTGCAAAAATTTTTTCCCATTCTGTTGGTTGCTGATTCACTCTAATGATTGTTTCTTTTGTTGTACAGAAGATCTGGATTTTAATTAGATCCAATTTGCCCATTTTGACTTTTGTTGCCAATGCTTTTGGTGTTTTAGTCATGAAGTCCTTGCCTATGCCTATGTCCTGAATGGCTTTGCCTAGGTATTCTTCTAGGGTTTTTATGGTGTTAGGTCTTATGTTTAAGTCTTTAATCCATCTGGAGTTAATTTTACTGTAAGGTGTTAGGAAGGGGTCCGGTTTCTGCTTTCTGCACATGGCTAGCCAGTTTTCCCAATACCATTTATTAAACAGGGAATCCTTTCCCCATTGCTTGTTTTTGTCAGGTTTGTCAAAGATCAGATGGTTGTAGATGTGTGGTGTTGCCTCTGAGGCCTCTGTTCTATTCCATTTGGTCTGTATGTCTGTTTTGGTACCAGTACCATGCTGTTTTGATTACTGTAGCCTTGCAGTATTGTTTGAAGTCTGGTAGTGTGTTGCCTCCCACTTTGTTCTTTTTGCTTAGAATTGACTTGGCTATGTGGGCTGTCTTTTGGTTCCATATGAAGTTTAAGGTGTTTTTTTCCAGTTCTGTGAAGAGGGTCATCGGTAGTTTAATGGGGATAGCCTTGAATTTATAAATTACTTTGGGCAGTATGGCCATTTTCGCAATATTGATTCTTCCTAACTATGAGCATGGAATGTTTTTGCATCTGTTTGTGTCCGCTCTTATTTTCTTGAGCAGTGGTTTGTAGTTCTCCTTGAAGAGGTCCTTTAC